TGTTTACTTTTTACCAGTTGTATACAAATACAATATTTTGTTTAGAAGTTGTTTAAAATACTGAAGTAGTTTAAAAATAAATACATTAGCTTTACATAAGGAATAGCCTGGTCATTTTAATCAAATTACTTTCAACTGTCGACCATTGTGTACATTTAAAATAAAAATTTTGGATCCCTTATTAAATGGGACAATAAATAAATCCAAACGAAGTCGTTCTCTACAACAGGGTTCGGCAAACTTAAGAGACGGAAGTGCCAAAATTTACAATTTACAAAAATTCCCAATTCTCTAAGAGCCACTAACATTTTAATATCAATATTTGTTTTTTGTTTAGGATTAGGTAAATAAATGATATTTGTTATTTTAAATAAATAGCTTTAAACATGAAATAATATTTATTCATTTAAAAACAAAACATACACATGTTTCGTTAGAATAATAAAATGAGCAATCAAATAATAAAAATATAGGACTATCCCAATCCATTTTAGAAGCTGTTAACTGTATTTTCATTATGAGCATCACCGTCTAAGGAGGTGTCTCCCATCAGCCAGTAAGGCCACAGCACGACAAACTCCGACTAACTGGTTTGTAAATCTTGTATCGTTCCCTTCTGTTATTTCTTTCTCACCAAGCTTATCTTCTATCCCACTAAACGAAGGGTAAACTCGTACCCCACCCTACAGTAAACATGAAATTATGTAGCTATTAATATTTGTACAAGGAGCTGGAGAGCCGCATCTGGACACTAAAAGAACCGCAGGTTGCCGACCCCTGCTCTACAACATTACATCTGTTTCGCAATCTTGTCGTTATTGCCCCCCCCCCCCCCCCAACAATTTTACCCCCAAAGTAATGTCTAACTTAGCAGTAACCCTTCTGTCGTTTACCCCCACATCAAACCCCCAGTATAATTACATTCATCAACATCACAGCAAACAAAACACATGTAAATACGGGTACTTTACTACCCGTAGTTTTTCTTCTTCTTTGTTTCGATTAGATTTGATACCAGTTACTATTTTCTGTGAGCTAGCTTCTTCTTCGTCTTCATCTAATTATGGATTAGCTTCCATAGCCTTTGTCCAACCATGAACCAACTACAAGGCAGCAGTACGAACTCGAGACTTTTCTGTTTAAACCATAAGCTCTTCCGTCTCGACCATGGAGACCCCTTGTGAGCTAGCATTAATTGATATTTTATATTTGTCTGCAACTATTGTCTTTGTAAGGCGTAGAAAAAATAGTTTAGGTTTAATATTACAATATTACATAGAAGTCGATTTGTTTAAATACTTTGTCGGGCCATTTGAGTCATTCTATATGACGTGAGTGCACGCATGCGCGCGTGTGAGGTTGTGCGTGCGTATGTGAGTGTGTATAAACTACTATAAAGGATGATTTAAAATTATCCTTTATTACGAGTCATATATGGTTCAGTTCCTTCTAAGATGATTAAGATGTAGGCATAGTAAAGGCATATTTTGCGTCACTGTTCAGGTACAGGAGGCAGTGTGAGTAGAAATATAAGTTCACGAGTGTGTGTTTGATACTATGGTGGTCTAAAGTAACACACGCCCCACAAGTTGGACAAAATCGCAACAACTCAAAACAACAATAAATATTATACCCAAGTTGATACTTCTGTTTAAAAAGCTTCTTAAAATAGTGTTAATTAATTTTAACCCAGCCTATTTGTTGTATTTAATAATAGTTCCTGACAGAAAACATGATAAAACAATAAGTTTTCTTAAATATTATAAATTAAAATTGTCATTCATTTTTTTTTAATTTGTCTGTTGACTTCATGTCCTGGAAAATGATTATTCTAAGGCATTGGACGTGCATCTGTGTGTTTGTGGGGGGGGGGGGGGGGGGTACCATCATTTTTATATTTGTCCCTAGAATTTATTTTAATGAACAAGTTTACTTTATAAATGTTGTAAAGTAGAAAAAATATTAATAAATAAAAAAGAATAAGCATGAAAGATTAAATATAAAAAGAACAGTGATTCTTTTTCTATACCTTGCTAGAAGTTATAAAATTAAGTACAGTCATTTTGTAAAATACGTACATCCTTGTGTGTTTTAAAACACAGCACATTCAAAATACATGTTGCAAACCAGTTTTTAACCCTTTTATATCTACCACCATTCCACTTTAATAACTTCAACACAATACAGCTGGGACTACCACAAGCATGATCTTCACCGCCAAAATGAACACGCATACAATAACCCACACAAAGGCACATACAAAACACAAAAAGTTCATGCGCACATTAACACACACAGTCCCACAAGCGCGTCTACTCACACACATACCCAAACATGCACAGGCATGCATACAAACACACACAATTACGCACATACAATCACACACAGACACACACATAGTCACACACACACACGTTAATCGATGTGAAGGGGTCGGCGTGGTCGAGTCGGTAAAGCTCATGGCTGCTAATCCGAAAAGTCTCGAGTTCGAACCCCCGGGCAGATGAGGCTCTTCTAGGAGAGACAACTTCCATAGCCTTTGATTGAACAAATGCTATGGAAGCAAATCCAAAAAGAAAAGCAGGCTGAAATCGGAGTCAATGGCCTCAATAGCGCATAATCAGTTGACACGTATTCTTAATTGTGTTGGATGGGGATCCCTTCCAACACTAAAATTAAGAACGAAGAAGAAGAATCATTGTGAAAACTGACAGTCTCTCTCTGTATATAGCATATCTGATCGGAGAGCTCAATCATCAACTTTAGTTTTCACCCTATAGATTATCACAACTCAATATTTAATCGTTATTAACATTAACATTCTTTACGGTGTAAATAAACAAACGACAATCCCATCCGCTGATGTGGAAAATAAATATTTAAAGCAGGAAATATGAGGGACTCGTAAACACATGACTTTTAAGTGATTTCGCAAAGGCAAATCGGGTACAAATGCAGATGATTTAATCTAGAATTTATCAGGGCAATAAGTTACCTCCCATTTGGACTTTTTAAATATAACAGGGGGAACAATGTTTAAGTAAATGGCTAGAATTTAAAAAAAAAACAATAACGCCATTACAAATAACGCAACTTAAGATCATAATTATCGACTAAATGTACTTATGTGTACCTTATTACCATTTGTAACCGAATACTATTTTTCTATAGGAAGTAGCTTAAAATACTGAAGTAGTTTAAATTTAAATACATTAGCTGTAAATAGAGAATAGTCTTGGTATTTTAATCCATGTACTCTAAAGATTGTTTTCTGCAATATTCAACAATGTTTAATTTTGGATCCCTGATAAATAGGGATAGCAAATAAAAGCAAAAGAAGTCGGTTCTGATCAACATTACATCTGTTCCCCATTTTAGTCGATAAGTGCCTCCCCAACAATTTTACTCCAAAAGTAATGTCTAACTTTGTAGTAACCCTTCTGTCGTTTACCCCCAGATCAAACCTCCAGTATAATTACATACATCAAGCAAACAAAAGTACATGCGGTCAATTCAATAGCCATAGTGTTTCTGCTACTTTGTTTAGTTTAGATTTGATACAAGTTACTATTTTGTAATATTTTCTAATTTTTCTGCATCTTTTTATGTCGTTGAACGAATAGTGTAGTTTAATATGAGAATTATTCAGGGAGGAAGCAGGTGAGAAGTTTATTCTCCTCGCTCCCGGTTTCATTCTGACGGGCTGTTTCAGACATTTTATACGACGTGAGTGTGTGCGTGAGTGTGTGCGTATGTGTGTGTTTATATGCACGTGTATGTGCGTGCGCGTATGTTCATGCGATTGTGCTTTTGTGATGATGTAGACTTTCCCGTATGGATAACCAAGGTCTCTCAGATCCATCTATCCTAGGATGAACAAGTTTAGTTTAGAAACGCAAGACCACAATGTTGAATCGTCTTTGACGGGGTCCATTTGTCGCTGGCCATTGTGACGGGGTCGATTTGACGGGGCTCTTATGTCGAGGCCGTTTTGTTGGGGTCGTTTTGACGGGGCCGTTTATCATTTGTCATTTTGACGCCGCCCAGAGAAGGGGATAGGGAGTTTATTCTCCTCGCTTCCGGTTTCATTATGACAAGCCGTTTCAGACATTCTATATGACATGCGTGTGCGTAAGTGTGTGCGTGCATGCCTGTATGCGCGTTTTCGTGAGCGCGTGTGGTTGTGCGGGTATTGTGATGTAGACTTTCCCATATGGATAACTGAGATCTTTCAGATCCATCAATCCTACGATCAACAAGTTTAGTTAAGAAACGCAACACCACAATGTTGAATCGTCTTTAACAATAGCATGTAGTATAATATAAATAAAACAACGATAATCCCATCTGTTAATATGGAAAATAAATGAACTGTTAAAAGCAGAAAATATGAAGGACGTGTGCACATGCCTTGTAAGGGATTTCGCAAAGTAAATTGGGTACAAATGCAGATGATTAAATTTAAAAGGCAATAAGTTACCTCCCATATGTTAATTAAAAAGACAAAAAGGGAGATAATTTTTAACTAAATGGCTTCAATTTCTAAATCCGTGTACGCTATAATTGATAAAGCAATTTAAAATCTATATTTTAAGAGTAATTGTATTGTTGTTGTCTTTATGACCAGTTGTCTACAAATGTTACATTTTGATAAAAAGTTGTTTAAGCTGAAAGTAATTTAAAATTCAAAACATTAGCTTTTAGTAAAGAATAGTATGATCATATAAGTCAAATTCATTTGACTTACATTGTTGTTTAAAAAAATTTAACTTAAATTTTGGATCCCTTATAAAAAGGGACAGTAAATAAATGAACTGCTGAAATTTATGCGCGACCTACTAAATGTTGTTTCACACGCGTCCCTTTCTTAGTGCATTCTGTCGCACAGCTGTTAACCAAATCAGATCATACTCATCTCCGAAGAAAATGTTTTGAATCGCCAATTAATTATCTATAAAAGATTTTAATACCTTTAAATAAGGATTTAACTATATAAAACAATGCAGGATGCAAGTCCCAAAAGAGCTAAGCTGTCTGATGAAGAAAGGCCTTCAATACTTGCCACTCTCAAAGAATCTGGCTGGACTTTGGTTTATAAAGAATACATTTTCAAAGATTTTAATCAGGCATTTGGATTTATGACCAGAATAGCAATAAAGGCAGATAAAATGGATCATCACCCAGAATGGTTCAATGTTTATAACAAGGTACAAATTACTCTGAGCACCCATGATGTCGGAGGCTTGTCTCACAGGGATGTTACGCTTGCTAATTTCATTGAAGAAGTGGCAAAATGAGATGTGGCATATCTAGCGTAATTTGGAGAAGTCTAATTCATGACTATCAGATCAATATGATTTATTTGCATAGACAAAGTAGAATGCTGGGTGAAATAAAAATCATTCCTTTCAAAATGAACATGACATTTACAAAATGAAACTGATTAATGCAACTGCTTAATTATAAGCTACTTAGGAATAATAAGTTATATCCTGTTATAATTACTTCTGCAAATTCCTATTTACAACAGGATAATTCATAGTCTTGACTTTTCTTCTTTTACAAAAAAAAATCAATAATACTGTTAGTCCATTTATTAAAACAAATTGGTAGATGCTAATTTTGTATCTATTTGTTAATAAAAGTCTTGTTAATGTTTTGAATTTCACTGAAATTATATGTAGATGCATTGTAAAAGTTATTTCTGATTTTTTTTTTTTAATTTATAGACATTGTCAAAATTTTTCTAGTTTAATGTTTAAACAGATAACCATTATGTAATGCTAGAAGAACTGGAAAGCTCATAAGCAGAATTCATTTAGGCAGATGCATTTATTGTTATTTTTAGCTAACAAAAATGTGTTCTTTCTTTAATGTCAATTTTGTTGCTTTTATATATGTAATATACATGTTATCAAAACACGGTCAGATATTTTGCAATTTACCTGATTAAAATTATTATTTTAAAAAAAAAAAAAAAAAAAAAAAAAAAAAAAAAAAAAAGTAAATAAATGAATTGCCCGGTGGCAAATAACATTATAGATGCTGTTGAAGCTCCAACTATTAAAAAGTCTGAAATGATTGAAGAACCAGGTAGAAGCTCTCCAGCTAAAGAAGCAAAAATTATAAGTATCATGAGGATTCGCCATACAAAGATGAAGAAGCACACATTGAAAAAACTAAGGCATCGGATGTACTTCTTGTGGTCAAGACAGAGGCGAGCCAAGAACGCTAAAAAGATGAAGACATACCGCAAGGAACTTGAACGAATCAAGATGTCTGGTGAAACCTTTGATGCAATGGATTTTGTACAAAAGCAGTTGACAAAAGCTAGAAAAGGTGGATACTCTATCAATGTGTTTGAATCTACACAATAAAATTACTTATAGCCAAAAAAAAATAAATAAATAAATAAATACGAATGAATTCGGTTCTGTACAACATACACTTCTAGTGAAGTGCCTCCCTGGAAATGTTACTCCTAAAGTAACGTCTAGCTTGGCAGTAATCCTTCTGTTGTTTATCACCGGATCAAACCCCCAGTATAATTGCATTCATCAACATCACAGCTAACGAAACACAAGTAAAAGCAAGTACTTGACTATCCGTAGTTTTTCTGATACTTTATTTCCGTTAGATTTGGTACCAGTTACCATTTTCTTAAAAAAATTCTGCAACTTTAGTCTTTTAAGGGCGTTGAACAAATAGTGTAAGTGTATTATTGAGAATTATTCGGGGTGAGAAGTGTATTCTCTGGTTTCACTTTGACAGGCCATGTTAGACATTAAATACGACGTGCGTGTGTACGTGTGTGCGTAAGCGTGTGTATAAGCTCGTGTATATGCTCGTGTATATGTGTCCGCACGTGTTCTTGTAGATGAGCGTGTGCATTGATTGCTTTTAAATGATCCTTCATTACCAGTCAAATATGGTTTATAAATTGTAGGCTTACTAACGAGCGAGTTCAGAAACAGGAGGCAGTGTGAGTAGAAACATGAGTTCACGAGTGTGTTTGACAATATGGTGGTCTAAAGTAACAAACGCCCCAATAGTTATACAAAAACCTATCAACAAAGAATAGAAATTATACCCAATTTGATACTTTTTTTTTTTTTTTTTAGTTCACTTTTAAATCCAGCCTGTTTATTGTATTTAGTAGTAGTTCCTGACAAATATGTTAAAGTAATAAGTTAATTTTTTTTAATGCGTCTGTGAGAAAATAATCATTCTAAAGAGTCGAACGTATAAGTGTATGCTTGTGTACTTGTGTGCATGTGTGTGTGTGGGGGGGGGGGTGTACCAGTGGTACATTGTTAATATATTTGTCCCTTGAATGTTTTTTTTATAAACACATTTACTTTATATAAGTTATAAGTAGAAAACATAATGATAAATGAAAAGCTAAAACCATGTAAGATTCAATATAAAATAACAACAGTTCAACGCTTTGTTTATACTCTTCACCTAGCTAGAAGTTATTAAATTAAGTAGTCATTTTGTAAAATACACACATCCTTGTGTAAGTCTTTTAAAACACCGCACACTAAATACACATTAAACGCCAGCTTTTTACCCACATATCTACCACCATTCCACTTTGATAACTTCAACACAATACAGCTGGGACTACCACAAGCACGATCTGTACCACCAAAATGAACACGCACACAGTCACACACATACAGTCACACTTTTGCAATAGAAAAAAGCAATGTCAGAAAACGGAATTTTAGACCTTATTTCGCGTTTTAGAAAACTGTTTTAATAAATTGCAATAGCAATTGATTAAAATACTCTATTTCGACAGAGTTCAGAAAAGATTTTGGAAATATATTGGTGTTTTAAGAAAAAATGAGGGGGGAGGGTTGTAGACTGAGTTGTGGCGTCATTTTAGGGAGGGGGGGTCTGGCTTTTTGTGACGATGTGTGACGGAGGGGAGGTGGGAAAAATCGTCAAAAAAAGCGTGACGTGATTTATGGATGACCCTTATTCCGTATTCTTGTCGTTAAGTGGCTCCCCAACAATTTTATTCCCAAAGTAATGTCTAACTTGGCAGTAACCCTTCTGTCGTTTACCCCCAGATTAAACCTCCAGTATATTTACATTCATCAACATTACAGCAAACAAAACACAAGTAAAAGCGGAGCCTGTACTATCCGTAATTTTCCTGCTACTATGTTTCGTTTAAATTTGACACTAGTAACTATTTTGTAATATTTTCTAATTTGTCTACAACTTAAGACATTTTAGTGAGCTGAACTAATAGTGTAGGTTTTATATTAAGAATTTTTGGAGAGGGAGGGAAAATTTATTCTCCTCGCTTTCGGTTTCATTTTGACAGTCAGTTTCAGACATTCTATACGACGTGCCTGATTGAGTGTGTGCGTGAGTGTGTGCGTGCTTTTGTGCGTGCGTCTGTTGCACGTGTGTATATTCGTGCGCGCGTGTTTGTGTGGTTGTGCGGGTGTGATGATGTAGACTTTCCCATAAGGGTAACTGAGGCCTCTCTGATCCATCTGTCCTAAAATGAACAAGTCCAATTTTCGCTGGCCATTTTGACGAGGTCGATTTGACGGGGCTCTTATGTCGAGGCCGTTTCGCCGAGGTTGTTTTGACGGTGCTGTTTTATCATTGGCCATTTTAACGCCGCTAGGAGGGTGGGGACAAGCCGTTTCAGACATTCTACACGACGTGAGTGTGTGCATAAGTGTGTGAGTGCATGACTGTATGCGTGTTTTCGTGCGCGCGTGAGGTTGTGCGGGTGTGATGATGTAGACTTTCCCATATAGATAACCGAGGTCTCTCAGATCCAACTATCCTACGATGAACAAGTTTAGTTTAGAAACCCAAGACCACAATGTTGAATCGTCTTTAACAAAAGAGGTAGCATAATTTAAAGGCATGCCTTGAAAGTGATTTTGTAAAGGTAAAATGATTTAATCTCGCGATTGTCATGGCATTTTGCATTTAAAAATCTAACAAGGGAGATAATGTTCAACTAATTAGGCTAAAATTTAAACAAAAAAAATAAGATATAAAATATCAGGCTATACGTATTGTTATTTACATTATTAACAATTTAATCAATACTAAATTTTAATAAGTAGTAGCGTAAAATACTGAAATAGTTTAAATTTAAACGCATTAGCTTTAAGTAAATAATAGTTTGGTCATTTCAATCAAATTACTTTTATAAAAGGAGTAAGATATTAACCGATAGAAAGATTGGGATCGACGTTTTGTATTAGAAATCAAAAACATTTTAAAATATTATTGAAAATGTGAAAAAGGGATATGAAGGTTTTATATTAGATTTTAAACCCAGTTGGATTCATTTTTTGAAACATTTCAAGAATGTTACTAAAAAAATGAAAAAAATAAAAAATAAATGTTAAATAAAGAAGAAAAACAAAACGTGTAAAAAGGGACAGTAAATGAATGCAAATGAAGTAGGATCAGAACATTACTTCTGTTCTCATTATCCATCTTCACTGCCTCTAGAACAAGATTACTCTTAAAGTAACGTCTAACTTGGCAGTAACCCTCCTGTCGTTTACCCTCAGAACAAACCTCCAGTATAATTACATTCATCAACATCACAGTAAACAAAACACAAGTTAAAGCGGGTACTTCACTACCCGTAGCGTTTCTGCTTCTTTGTTTCCTTTAGATTTTATTCCGTTTATATTTTCTGTGAGCTAGCAATATTCAAGAAAAAAAAAATGATATTCTCTTACTTTTCTGCAGCTTAAGTCTTTTTGTGTGGTGAATTAAGAGTGTAACTTTTATATCGAGAATTGATCGGGGAGGGTGGGAGTGAGAAGTTTATTTTCCTCACTTCCGGTTTCATTTTGACGGGCAGTTTCAGACATTCTATAGGACGTGCGTGTTTGCTTGAGTGTGTGCGTGCATGAGTGTTTGTGTATATGCTGGTGAAATAATATGCGCGCATGTTCGTTCGCGCTTGCGGTTATGCGGGTGTGATGATGTAGACTGTCCCATATGGATAACCGATGTGTCTCTAATCCAATAATCCTACGGTGAACAAATTTAGTTTAAAAACCCAAGACCACAAGTGACAATTTTGAATCGTCTTTAACAATAGCATGTAATATAATTCAAAGGAAAAAAGAACGATAATACCTGAAGCTGATGTGGAAAATAACATAATATTCATAGCAGAACATATTAGGGACTTGTATACACAAGCATTGAAAGTGATTTCGCAAAGGTAAATTGGGTACTAACATGGATGATTTAATCTCGCTATTAAATATGCAATAAGTTGCCTCCCATC